CCCTCCCCAGCCGCGGCTCCCACGTGAGGGGCCGGCTGGGCAGGCAGCCCAAGCAGCCCGCTACTCCCTCTGCCGAGCGCTGCTCCCTGGCCCCGCCGCCCCGCCCCTTTGGGGGGCTGCGCTCGCTGCACCGCGGCAGCAGCCGGGGGTGTAGGTGGGCCGCCACCCAGGCTGAGGTGGTGCCCAAGACGCGGCTTGAGCTCGCCCACGGTGGGGCGGCCGGAGGAAGCTGCCACGGCCGGCCTCCGCCTACAGCGCCGGGGGCCCAAGGAGGCGGGGGCGGCCACCTGGCCCGGACCACCCCGGCCGGCCGCTCGGTCAACAAAGTGGTGTACGATGACTACGAGAGCGACGAGGGCGACGACGACGAGGAGGAGGACATGGTATCGGAGGAGGACGAGGAGGAGGAAGAGGACGGCGACGCCGAGGAGACCCAGGATTCGGAGGACGACGAGGAAGATGACACGGACGAGGACGACGATGACTCCGATTATCCCGAGGAGATGGAGGACGACGACGACGCCGCCAGCTACTGCACGGAAAGCAGCTTCAGGAGCCATAGCACCTACAGCAGCACTCCAGGTACCACCCAGGTGGCCCGGAGACTCCTGCCCCACCTCCTCCCCTCCCCTCGCTGCTCGCTCCCTCTCGAGTGCGGTGCATCCTGCTTCCCGGCTTCCCCCACACCCCGGCCTACCCCCCACTCGGGGGAAACGGGACGGCACGTCTAGTGACCGAGAAAGAGAACCACGACACAACAAAAATAGGTTTGCAACAGGAAAGAGGCGCATTGTTCAAAATGGAGATTGCATTGTTGCAGTTTGCAGGCCACACACTGGTTCGCTCTCTTGTCTCCCCCCTCCCTCTTTTCCTCTTCCACCTGTGTGCCAAGTGCGGTGTCTCCGTCAGGCAGGATCGAAAGTTTGGTACACCCGTATCCATTGCGTTCATTTTCTCCCTTTGCTTTGCTGTATTTATTTTTTTCCCTTTTGGGGGGAACGAAAAAAGGCTCTTGTTATGCAAATCCCTTTGAATTTCTAATGCGGTTTCCTGCAGATTAAAAATTATCTGTCTCTTCCTTAAAAGGGAGTAAGGATTGAGACCGGTCGAGGCACCTAAATACGCACAGACGCGTTTCCTTTGCCACCTCTAGTTGTGCAGAAAAACTGTTCAGGAGGAAGCGTTGTTGGGTTAGTAGGGGAACCTTATCTGGTCCTGTGCAGTTTGTTTGTGTTCCTCCGCTCGCTCGGGAGGCGCGTGCAACAGTTGCTGGTAAATGGCTGATGTAAAGCAAAGCAGAAAACCAAACCAAACCAAATTTGGCAGTCCATCCGATTCAAAATCACTTTGGCTAAATCCTCAATAAAAGTAGGAAGCCACAGGGACGTGCGTCCTAACGAGTTTGATCTTGGCTTTGCTTGGGAGATGCAGTTTCGAGGCACCTGTTGCGGAAGGTGGGTAGTTGATCATCCAGGCGGAATTGCTGAAGATGAACTTTTTGAAGTTACAGGGTAGACGTGTCAACCTGATTGCAATATGCCTTTTACTTTTCATTCTATTTCTGAGGAAAAAGTCCTCCCTGGATCTGAGATGCATTTCTCCATGGTGACTTTTCTCTTGTTTTCTCACTCAGTGTGGTACATTTTGTTTAAAAGAGACATGCACACAGTTGCTGCTTTGTATTAATGCATCGTTGTAAAAAAAATTATAGCAACAGCTTGTCAGGCTTAACCTGGATTAGCAAAATTAAAATCCAATTGTAAGAGCCTTTCCAAAGTAAAGTTAATGAGGAAGTACAAGGATCTTAAGAGAGCTTGACATGTCATTTTCAGAGAGAATAGGGTGTAGAAATGGTTACATTTCAGTGTTTCCATTTTTATAACTCCTTAAATTTTTATTGGGAGAATATGAAAGTATGGAAATTAAGCCCGATCTAAACCCATTTAGATTGTGTTAGCATCAGGTGAGAAAAGGTAATGTTTTCTGCTTGCCTGTAAGAAGAGTTGGTTGCCTAGTTTATGGATGAGGACGGGCATCAAGGGGAGCCGCTGGGGTGGGGGACGAGTGTGGCAGGCACTACAGGCAAGTTTCAATTTTTGTCAACTTTGTTCGACACATCTTTTATAGTAATGGTTTTTACCTTAAGAAATCAATTGTTGGGCCTCTTTGTACCCTGAGCCGAGAATTGAACTTGAAGTCCAACATACACTTATGGAGGACATTTTTTAAGTGTGAACTGAGGCTTTTGGGTAGGGCAGTTCAGTTTAACTCCTAATTAAATTACCACGTGTTGCTAGGGCAGCTTTTTATTTGTTTGTTTATTTGAGACAGTGTCTCTCTGTAGCCCCAGCTGGCCTGGAACCAGCTATTAGATCATCTCAGGCTGGCCTCCTGATTGTTGGGATTAAAGGCATGCACCACCACACCTGGCTAGGACTCTTTTTTTTTTTTTTAAAGCATCCTCACATAAAAATGTGTTTATGGTCATTTCTCCCGATGATGCATGTAGCCACCTGATGATACTTTTGTTCTAATTTATATGAATTAAATAACTTTAGGATTAAGTTTTGATATTAGACACCCTTCAGCTCTTAACACTGTTGGCTGCCTAACACAGTATCTATTGAGTACTCTGTACATCAATTGGTTGCTGGAGAGGGGCAGTGGGAGGGGGTGGGGGCTGGTGTGGGCAGAAGCTTCCCGGATTGGCTTGTGGATTGCAGGAGGGAAGGAGCAGCATGACCTCTAGTACTGATAGTGAAGTGTGGGCCCACACTAGTGACTTTAGCAAGAGCCTGGGTATACGAATAGGAAGTAGACTATAAAGGTGCATTTAATATGCTGCTGGGCTGTTCCCTAGAGGAACAGGCCATAGCAGTTGTACTTCTCCTCCCTCATTGTTGAATAAGGATCGGCTCAGGTGGGTGATCACAGGCATTTTTCTTCCCATCAGTAATAGTGCCATGTATAAACTTGAGCTAGAACCAGCGGAAGTGGTTTTATAGCCCTGAAAGATCTGTCCAGGAGTTTTCTGGAATTGACCCATCAGTGTAGACTGGGAATAGAAAGCATCTTACAGGCCTCTGTAAGAATGGAGTGTGATCGGCAACTGGGAGGTCAAGATAAAATGAGACTTTTTTTTGTGGAATCAGCACCTGTAGCGGCTAAGCATGAGAATTAAGGAAAGCTAGGCTAGAATTATTAAAAAGTTAGGCAGTGTGATCTGTGAGCAGTGGCCAGGCATGTCCTAGGTCTGTGATAGTAAATAGGCTTGTGTGCCATGCACGCTTGCCTGCTCCTGGTGCCTGCCCGCAGGCGTATTTGGGAATGTGGCTGTATGTTTAAGGCCAGGAGCTCTGGTCTCTGGTTAGGGCCTCCTTTTCTCACCCTTGACAACAGACTCTTGCTGGTGGGGATGGGGGTTGAGAGGGTGTGGTGGTGATGGGTAGTAGTAGTCTGAGTGACTGGCCAGGAGCAAGCTGGTCCCTTCTTCTTAGACAAACTCAGATCCCCTTGCTGTGATTATGCTTTAGAACTTTCTTATTCATCTTGGTCCCTGTTTTCTTTGCCTGCTTAGAGTAGTTATAACTTTGGCTTCATAATTTATCAGTTGTTTAGCTGTGGCCCTCATTCTAACTTTTCATGCTTTCGGTTATATGAGATGTGTCTTAGGCAGATTTTAAACAGCCTCATGTAACCCAGGTTGGCCTCTACTTTCCCTGTGCTGGGATTACAGGTGTGTCAACATGCCCACAGTTTATGCTGTGATGGTGATAGAAGCTCAGGGGTTTCCACATGCTAGACAGGTACTCTTCCCACCTGAATTGCATCCTCAACCCAGAATATTAGTCACTACTAAGGGTTAGTCGTAATGTGTTAAATGATTAGTTGTTATAATTTTTTTTTTTGCCTTTTTGAAGCAGGGTCTCCCTGTAGCCCCAGCTGTCCTGGAACTCACTATGTAGGCCAGGCTGGCCTTGAACTCACAGAGATCCGCCTGCCTCTGCCTCCTGAGTGCTGCGACTACAGGCGTGTGCCACCACGCCCGGCTATATTTGGCTTTTTGATATAGGATCTCCATGTAACCTCAGCTGGCCTGGAATTCATTATATAGACCAGGCTTGCCTTAATCTCAGAGATCTACCTGCCTCAGCCTTCCATGTGCTGGACCAAAGGTCTGCGTCACCATGCCTGGCCAAAATATTTTAACTACAGAAAAAAGCAAGGTGGATGAGATAGCTCAGTGGGTTAAGGTGCTTGCCACCAGACCTAGCAACCTGAGGTTGATCCTCAGGACCCACATTGTGGAAGGAGAGAATTGACTATCGAAAGTTGTTTACTGAGTACTGAAAGTTGGCTTCTGACCTCCACACATGCTCAGACACACAAAATTAAAAAAAAAAAAAAGCCAAAAGTTTGAACATGCAAAAATTAAAATTGTACTTTGAGAAATTCTGAAAGTAAAATCTTATTATTATCTTTACTATTATTTTGAGACAAGGCCTCATTCTATATCCCAGGCTGGCCTGGAACTCACAAGCAGTCCTCCTGCCTCAGCCTCCTGACATAGTGCTGGGATTACGAGTCAGATATACATGCAGCTTGGAAGTGAAATCATACAGAAGGAACTATGCCTGGTGTGAAGGTGCATCTTTATAATCCCAGTGCTTGGAAGGTGAGGGCAGGAGGAGTGTGAGTTCAAGTTCAGCCTGGGCTACATAGTGAGACTCTCTCAAAAGAAGGAAGCTGGGAGTAATGGCATATGCCTTTAGCCCCGGAACTTGGGAGGTAGAGGCAGGAGTACCAGGAATTCAGGACCAGAGTGGGCTGCAAGAGACCCTGTCTCAAAATAATTTATTTATTTGTTTTTGGTAGTTTTGAGACAGGATCTTCCTGTAGCTGCAGCTGGCCTGGAACTCACTATGTAGACAAAGCTAGCCTTGAACTCACAGAGACCTGCCTGCCTCTGCCTCCTGAGTCCTGGGATTAAAGGCATGTGCCACCATACCCAGCCTCAAAAAAATTTTTAAAAGGGGGCAGGAGAGGTGACTTAGCAGTTGGAAAGCACTTGTTGCCCTAGCAGAGGACCCAAGTTTGATTCCCAGCACCTATGTTGGGTGGCTCACAATTGCCTGTAACTCCAGCGACAGAAGATCTGACACCCTCTTCTGGCCTCCGTAGGTACTGCAGACACATGCACCTACCCACACACATACACATACCCGTAATTAAAAATAATAAAAATTGGGACTGGGGAGATGACTCAGTGGATTAAGAATACTTGCTGTTCTTCCAGAGGACCCAGGTTCGATTCCCAGCACTGTCAGATTCCAGTTCCAAGGGATGTGACACCCTCTTCTGGCCTTTGGGGGCTTTGCATGACATGGGTGCATGCATATACATGCAGGTAAAACACTCATACACATAAAATAAAAAATATATAATTTAAAAAATAATAAAAATTTTAAAAGAAAAACGAAAGAAAAACATTTTAAACTTTTATTTATTTTGCATGTATGTGTGTGTCAGGGGTGCCACAACATGCATGTGGGGGCTCAGAATAAAAAATTTGATAGAAATCA